CGTGTCCCCCCCCTCTGTCTCCAGGAGAGGACTGTTGTATACAGATGTCATGGGAACAGATCAGACGTTTCATCCTTTTGTAAACAAGATAACAGTTGGTTCAAAGTTGTTTTTGTTTAATTATTTATTTAGGATTTATTCAATGTAGAACCGTCTATATATTTTTTTATTTTTATCTTTTTTATTTTATTTACCCAGGATTTAAAATATTCATATGAATTGATTGAATAGAAGCTTTAAAATGCATTCATTAAATGAATCTTTTTTTATTAAATCGTCACATTTGAACAGTAGGTGAATGAGTGAACTGACGTCACGGAGTCTGACCTCCCCTCATACAGAAATATATACAGAAATATATACAGTGTATAAAGGTAGGAGGCAGTAATGAGAGCAGAGTGATGAGGCTGGTATTTAGTTTGATGGTTGGTTACCATAGTACAATAATAAATCTGAGGGGGGGGGCAGTGGGTGGGGGGGGGACAGGCTCTGCCTGCTATAATTAAGCGGAGCATTGAGAAGAAGGTTGGAATAAAACATGAGTATGTAAATGCAGTGTGGAGCTGATGTTCCAGTGATTATTACACTGGAGATAAAACATTCCTCACCGCCGCCCGTGTCTGCTGGAGCCTCACCAAAACATCTGGACTTTTAATTGAAAAATGCCTCCGTGTTTCGCTGCGTTGCTCTGCGCTAAGTGAAGTCAACAATTAAGACAAAAACATAATTGATAAGAATTGAATTGCTTCATTATGTGGTGTTCCAGGCAGGAAAATGGATTTGATTATTTGCGGGTCACGAGCAGAGGGCGGGACTTCCTGTTGTCTTTGCTTCATCATCATCTTAAAACACAGCGTGGAGTCGAGCTCTTCATCCACTGCACATCAGTCACACGCCCTGGTCCAGGCTGGGCTGGTGGGCCAGGGCTGTACCAGGGGTGGACCAGGGGTGGACCAGGGTGTACCAGGGTGTACCAGGGTGTACCAGGGTGTACCAGGGTGTACCAGGGTGGACCAGGGTGTACCAGGGTGTACCAGGGTGGACCAGGGTGTACCAGGGTGTACCAGGGTGGACCAGGGTGTACCAGGGTGGACCAGGCTGGACCAGGCTGGGCTGGTGGACCAGGGTGTACCAGGGGTGTACCAGGCTGGGCTAGTGGACCAGGGTGTACCAGGGGTGTACAAGGGGTGGACGAGGGGGGTACACCAGGGTTTACCAGGGTGTACAAGGGTTTACCAGGGTGTACCAGGGTGTACCAGGCTGGGCTGGTTTACCAGGGTGTACAAGGGTTTACCAGGGTGTACCAGGGGTGGACCAGGGGTGTACCAAAGTGTACCAGGGTGGACCAGGCTGGACCAGGCTGGGCTGGTGGACCAGGGTGTACCAGGGTTTACCAGGGTGTACCAGGGGTGGACCAGGGGGGGACGTACCAGGGTGTACCAGGGGTGTACCAGGGTGGGTGTACCAGGGGTGAAAGCAGCCATGGTTATACACAGCATTCACTGTAGACTCCGTTTCATCGTTAGCATTAAGTCGTTTACAGCTGCCGATTGACGGCTGATATTTGTTGACGTAACTGATACAAGTGCAGTACTTTTTTTGGCCTGAAGTTGAATCATCATCTGACTCTACAAATCTGCTAAAGTGCAAAGTTTATGGGACAGAGAAGCTTTACTGCTGCTGGTATTTACCATGTGTTAATGACTCGTCATAAATCTCCTCCTGGTCCTTTTCACACACACACCTTCTTTGTTCAGGTTTTTTTCCCTCCATTTTTTCAGTAGTTAAATTGTGAGTATAATGTTGGACGATACAACATTTGTCCAGGACGGAGGATGAAAAGGACGTTGTCCCGAGGACGTCCCCGTGGAGATTGGAGCTTTGTCTCTGTGGGTGTTGAGAAAACACGTGACAGAACGTAAACATAAACCACTGTACGAAGAAGTGGCCCAGAAGTACGTGAGGGTGGTGCAGGGTCTGTACTGTGTGAGGTCATCAGGGCGGGGCTGAGGTGTTTGAGGTCATCAGGGCGGGGCTGAGGTGTGTGAGGTCATCAGGGCGGGGCTGAGGTAGAGTATAGAAAGTTCTTCTTCTTCTTCCCCTTCTTCTTCCTCTTCTTCTTCTTCTTCTTCTTCTCCTTCTTCTTCTTCTTCTTCCTCTTCTTCTTCTTCTTCTTCTTCTCCTTCTTCTTCTTCTTCTTCTTCTTCTTCTTCTTCTTCTTCTTCTTCTTCTTCTTCTTCTTCTTCTTCTTCTTCTTCTTCTTCTTCTTCTTCTTCTTCTTCTTCTTCTTCTTCTTCTTCTTCTTCTTCTTCTTCTTCTTCTTCTTCTTCTTCTTCTTCTTCTTCTTCTTCTTCTTCTTCTTCTTCTTCTTCTTCTTCTTCTTCTTCTTCTTCTTCTTCTTCTTCTTCTTCTTCCTCTTCTTCCCCTTTTTCTTCTTCTTCTTTCCCTTCTTCTTCCTCTTCCTCTTCTTCTTCCTCTTGATGAAGTCATCTTGTAGCTGACGCTGAAAGTGCAGAGCTGCATTTCCTGTAACTAAACCTTTGCTGCTGTTGCTCCTTTCAATATGACATTTGTGACGTGTTCTTTATCAAATCTATCATTATCCAAATGAAAGACCCCCTAAATCCTGCCCTCATATTTCAGTCGACCCGCCCTCCTGAAAACCTGCATCAGCACTGCTGTTTTAATCAGGATTGGTTGCTGATCATATCCCCCAGTCAGCATCCATATATCTGTGACTCCCATCATGTCCCTGCAATATTGCCTCCTTAATCTCCATTTACTTAAAAGAAAAAAAAAACAAAAAAAAAACTGCTGAAATATGTAGAAAAGCTGAGGACCAACTCCAAAAGTCAACCACCCAGACCCCCCAGACCCTCCCAGATTCTCTCAGACCCTCTCAGACTCACCCACACCCCCCTAGACCCTCTCAGACCCTCTCAGACTCTCTCAGACCCTCTCAGACCCCCCAGACCCTCTCAGACCCCCCTAGACCCTCCCATACCCTCCCAGACCCTCCCAGATTCTCTCAGACCCTCCCAGACCCCCCTAGACCCTCCCATACCCTCCCATACCCTCCCAGACCCTCCCAGATTCTCTCAGACCCTCCCAGACTCTCCCAGACCCCCCTAGACCCTCCCATACCCTCCCAGACCCTCTCAGACTCACCCAGACCCTCCCAGATTCTCTCAGACCCTCTCAGACTCGCTCAGACCCTCTCAGACCCTCTCAGACTCGCTCAGACCCTCTCAGACTCGCTCAGACCCTCTCAGACCCTCTCAGACTCTCCCAGACCCCCCTAGACCCTCCCATACCCTCCCATACCCTCCCATACCCTCCCATACCCTCCCAGACCCTCCCAGACTCTCCCAGACCCCCCTAGACCCTCCCATACCCTCTCAGACCCTCTCAGACCCCCCCAGACCCTCTCAGACTCGCTCAGACCCTCTCAGACCCTCTCAGACTCACCCACACCCCCCTAGACCCTCTCAGACCCTCCCTGACCCCCCCAGACCCTCTCAGACCCCCCCAGACCCTCTCAGACCCTCTCAGACTCACCCAGACCCCCCCAGACCCTCTCAGACCCCCCTAGACCCTCCCATACCCTCTCAGACCCTCTCAGACTCACCCAGACCCCCCCAGACCCTCTCAGACTCTCCCAGACCCCCCTAGACCCTCCCATACCCTCTCAGACCCTCTCAGACTCGCTCAGACCCTCTCAGACTCGCTCAGACCCTCTCAGACTCACCCACACCCCCCTAGACCCTCTCAGACCCTCCCATACCCTCTCAGACCCTCTCAGACTCGCTCAGACCCTCTCAGACTCGCTCAGACCCTCTCAGACTCTCTCAGACTCCCCCAGACCCTCCCAGATTCTCTCAGACCCTCTCAGACCCTCCCTGACCCCCCCAGACCCTCTCAGACCCTCCCAGACTCTCCCAGACCCCCCTAGACCCTCCCATACCCTCTCAGACCCTCTCAGACCCTCCCTGACCCCCCCAGACCCTCTCAGACCCTCCCTGACCCCCCCAGACCCTCTCAGACCCTCCCATACCCTCCCATACCCTCCCAGACCCTCTCAAACCCCCCAGACCCTCTCAGACCCCCCCAGTCTCTCTCAGACCCCCCCAGTCTCTCTCAGACCCCCCCAGTCTCTCTCAGACCCCCCCAGACCCTCTCAGACTCACCCACACCCCCCTAGACCCTCTCAGACCCTCCCTGACCCCCCCAGACCCTCTCAGACCCCCTCCCAGACCCCGACCCTCTCTCTCTCCTGTTGCCTTGGCTACATCATAGTTCCATTATTCCGGCTCCTCTTATTTTCTGTAAACGGCTGTTGGCGTCAGAGGAACGTGGCTGTATTTCCAAAGCAGATGTGCAGTTGCCCCCCAACTCTTCCTGGACAATATGGAAAAGTGCAGGAGGGCAAACGGTGAAGTCACCGATTCCCCGCTCCCTCTGCTCCTCATAAATCATGCTTGGCAGCACAGAATAAGCTACTTCTGGAGACATGGCTACCGGCAAAACACTCACTGCCATTCGTCAGCTCCGAGGAGCCACCGAAAGCTACGAACGAAAAAACAAATTCACTGCATCGCAGCCACGTGAGCTCTGGAGCCACGCCACCGTTAGCCGGCGTGTATTCCTGCCATGACGGAGGGCCGGCGGTGGCTACCTGCCCCATCACTCCCTGTTATTGCCATTCTGACCTTTTGCAGAACTTAACGCAGCTAATTGCTCTTCATGTACTCGCAGGGACAGGGATCAATATGAGAGGAAAAGGAATCCAGAGGAACAAGAATCCAGAGGAACAAGAATCCAGAGGAAAAAGAATCCAGAGGAACAAGAATCCAGAGGAACAAGAATCCAGAGGAACATCCTCCAACTGCCCCAGGGTCTGTTGGTGCAGGGGCAGGAACGCCACAGTCGGTCGTGGAGGTGTACTCCTGCCGGCTATGAATTCAGTACTGAACAAAAGGGGGCGCTGCGGCACAGTGTGGGAACCACAGATCGAAGCAGGATCTGAAATAAAAGTTCAAACCAACAAAACAGATTCAAATGTTTTTAGGCCAGAAGGTGGCGTGAACCAGTCCAAGTTCAGCCCAAAACATCCAAAACAAAGCTCAAAGTTAGCCAAGAGGAAACAGAAGCCAAGCTAACGCTGAGCCAGAAACTTCCTCCAAAGTCTGATGGATCGCCGTGGAACCGGACCACACGGTCCTGGTCCTGGTCCTGGTCCTGGTCC